AATACTCGTAATTTAAAATTTCTTTGCAAATTTATATTTAAAAAAAATCACTTATCATGTTATATTTATTTTTAAATCTAAATTATACAATATTCGATTTAGTTTAAATACTAATTGTCTATCTTCAATTTATAATTTATTCAATAAACAAATCAAAATTATATTATCTTATTTCTTACGAGTACTAGGTATAAGTGATAGTAAAAGTAAAAACAAACACGTTGGAGCAAGTAGAAACTTTAATGAAAATGAAGTTGTAAAGTGCACATGTATTACATGCCTTATTAATGGGTTGAAATATCGACAGAAGTTCAACTCTATAAATTTATTGGGTCATGAATACTGTTACAAGTGGATTTATTTTACAAACCCTTTTTCATGATGATTGCAAGTCTTTATGCAGTATTTTCTTTAATCGTCTCATCGATATGAAATCACAACAACAAATACAAACGAATTAGTTAACAATTTAATCAATTAAAAATTGAATCAAAATTATCTGTGTTTCAAATAAATTGGAATTTTTATAGTCTATATTTAAAATTTACAACTCATCGTCATTCGTATTCGGATTCATATATAAATTGAACAACAAAACAATTTCATTTTTTTTTTGTCATTTAAAAAGAATACTAATGATTTGATTTTCTTATTACTTAAACTACAAGCGTAAATATATCAGAATTTCTAACTACGAATTGAAATGATAACAATAGAAACTTACTTTTCGAAATCATTATTAATTGTTTGAGAATCTGCATCAGGTCTTGGATCACATCTTTGAATCGCTGCAATGAATGAATGTTGACAGACGAGTCTTTTAAGACAATCCCAAATTAAATAAAGTAGAAGTTTGATGTGTTAAAACTATTTCTTTCTTTATTTCTCAGGCAATACAAATAACGTAATAAAAATACAAAACGAAGCGATGTCATTCTAACAAATCTATGAATCTTCTCGAATGATGAGTATTTTATTAGAAACTTCTCAATCAAAGGTGTATTATAGAAAAGCTCGTTCTCAATTATAGATAAGTATGTGCAAGCAACTTTGTCATAAATTTTACCATGAACAGATGTTGATTTGAGTTGAACAGGTGATATTGATGAATAGATATGTGTAAAACCAGGTTCATTCAATGGTTCTTGTATTTGTAGAGTAATTGGACTTACTAAATCTTCGATTGACTGAAGTATCACAGCATCATTCATATTTTCTGCAATATCAGACTGAGTTGTTCCGTTTTGTACTGGTAGAGCAACTGATGTCACTAAGTGTGCGGCAGACTGAAGCATCACTGTATCATTTGAATCTTCTGTACTAATACGTTCAGTTGATGCCGTTTGTACTGGTTGAACAATCGGTACCTGTAAGTTATCGACTGGTTGAAGCGGTGTAGTATTATTTGAATTTGGTGAGCCAGAACGAATATCATTTTTTCTGTTTCGATGACGAGGCTTTGGTTTCTTAAGATCTAAATTATCAATTTAAAAAATACTATAATAGCTCTGGCTTGTCTTTCTATTTTCAAACCAGAATATCCCTAATATCCGGTTTCATTATCCAGCAAGACGAATTATACACTCTAAGTTAAAATGTGTCGCATGTGTCGTGATTCGCAACACATTCAAGCACGACACGAAGTGCTCGTTGCGACACATTTTCTCCAGCAAGCGTACGACACATTATCCCACGACACATCCGACACATTCTGAAATCGCGGTTCGAGCCTAGGTTTCACCGTATCTATAATTTTTTTCTTTGATGCATTATATCCATCAATATTTAATTAGTACAATTAACATCAGTGTTTGATGCAACACCGTTAAAAAGTCTGATCTTGAGATCCAACCGTGCAAGACTAGTCAGATCTTGATCAGACTACTGCTAGGTAGACCTCTCTTAAAGTGAAGTCATTATTTCTCGAAATATTTACAAGAAATATATAATCGAGAAATATATTATATAGAATGGTGCATGAAAACTAATGATTCTCACGTGATAGTTCAGATAGATTATATATAGATATACACGCAGAACAAAATGGTGAATGAACAGTCGTCATATATGTACAGAACGGTTAAAAATACGACACATTTTCTTGCTGGAACCCACGACACTATAATTTACGACGGAAAAAGTCGACACATTTTAACTTAGAGTGAACAATTTTAGAAAACGTTCCCTCATTACTAACGCTTTTGCCTATATGTCTGTTCATGCACAACTATATACATACATCCAACAGAAAAATAGAAAATCACCAAGATTGATTTTGTATCAGGTGGTTGATCTAAGTTCGGACTCAGTCTTCGTATTTGTTTTCGAAGAGCCGTTGTTACAGGCCGTTGATTACCATTGATAATGAATACATTCCAATCTTTTGGTAAAATGTCTAGAAGTTGCTGTTGCATGATATTATGAACGTATCTATCTTAAAGAAAAATAAACATGAGAATGATATTATAATGAATTACGAGACTACGCATAAAAATTGATCTTTTTTTGGGAAATATTGAATGAGTAACGACATGCATTTCTATATTTGTCACCTTTCTATATGAACATAATCGTTCATTGTTTTTTTTTGTCATTCATAATACAATGACAATTCCTCGGAAAATGATTATTTCTCTCCCTCGTTCAATACTACAGTATGTACCATTAGGCGACATCTATTTGTGTATTAATTTTCTTATATATTATTTGAAAAACTATCGTGGGACGTTTTTCTGTAGTAAACTGATTTGAATTTTAACATTGAAATGAATGGCGATTGCTAAGGGAGGTTTTACTAGAGATCTTTAATTACCAGCGTGTCGCTACGACACGCTACCGACACAATGATACGATGGAGTTACATGTAACGACATGTGTCGACAGCGTGTCGTATCGACATGGGTGGTTGAGTGAGGATAAAATCATTCTCAATATAATATTCGTGTGATCAGCGGTTGATTTCTCCCTCGAATCATTCTTCATCTATTCTAATGATGAATTTAGATATGTATTATCTGGATTGATTTATTCTTTTTTCTTAAACTCCATCGATATTTATTATGATTTGTGCCAGAGTTATTTATTTTATTCTTTAAGAAAAAGAAAGAATTTTTTCTTATAGAGAAAAACCTAAAGCGACTATGTTTGTCAAACTAATTCGTCTTTTTTTTAAGAAACAGGTCGATTTATATGAAATATATCCTGTGTAACAGTTTAAGCACATCAAATGTATTTTTTGACATATCTTTTTCTAGAACAAATCCTGGTGCATCGTCAAAACCTACAGAGAAAATCGAATACTCAAAAAAATGAACAAAAAAGGAAAATCATACATTTTGAATATTATTCATGCTAAATCAACTAAACATTATGCTAGCAGTTAAGATTAAAGCCAGATTTGTTTTATTTCCAAACATTTCATTTTTCTAAATAATACTCGAAAAAAAAAACATTTTTTGAGAATTTTCTTTCGTTTCCTTTGTTTTTGGAAAAAGAAAACTTATAGATTTTTCTATCAGATCAACATCGGCAAAGTGACAATAAAAATATAAATCGAGCTGAATCTGATGTTGAACCAGAAGCATCTTGACAAGAAGGTCCAGGTGATAAGCTGAACGAATATTCTCGATTAATACTGATTGTTCAGTTATATTTAGAAATACATTTTTTATATTATCAAAGATTCTACCTCTTTTATGTTAATTATTCATTTTTTTGTTCTAGTTAAGCATCTTTCAATTTCTCGAATAGATACACAAGTTAACTTCATTTCTACAATAATCAAGCTTCAGATAGATCATCTTTATGACAGTCCCATCGAATTGTTATGCTTGTTTTTTTTTCGAATCTTTTTTATTTATTTACGCTTTGTTTTATAAAAATATAACAAGTCTTTTGTTACTATACATTAAATAATGATAAGAAAGTTTACTTATTATCATTAAGTCAATATTTCCAAATAAGAATTTCGATAAAATGAATAAAAGATTGATTTATTTGTATAATATATGTTTTAAAATATTTCTTTAAACATTTATTCCCGATGATAATAAATAAATAAGTAAATGATAAATTAGTGTATTAACTCATTATAATATGTTGAATAAATATTCTACCAAAGGACACTGTTTAATCTTGAAATTTTTTCTTTCAATAGATAATATATTTCAATGTCAATCATATTTTAAATAAAATTCATTCGAAAAATCTCTTAAAAATTGTAAAATTTTATTTAATGTATATTAAATTATGATAGAATATCAGCGAAAATTAACATTATGAAAACCAATTAAAAAATCTCTCAGCTTTATTTCTATGTTAAACAAGAATCATCGACCAAAATGTTTTAATATATTTCAAACATATTCGTTGATTACTTATATGTATTATGATTAGATAAAGTATGATAGACAATCTTGGATTTCTTATCATTCATTACATTTTACAAATCATTTAAGAAAAATAAAGTTCGATGACAGATTCAAGATGTCATCGATCAAGAGTAGAGTTATCTAAAGTCTATTCAGTATGAAAATAATCGAAAATAAAAAAAATCAGTTCAGTGAATAGAAATTGAAAAATAGATGGATGTGGGTGTGTGTGATAGAAGAAGAGAAACATACAACGTGCGCCCACACCAACCCACCCTTGAAAATGTTGAGATCGGAAAACTTTTCGAAGAATGTTTTCCTCTACGGAGAAATCATAAACTCAATAAACAATTTCTCTAGTTTATTTATTCTTTCTTTGTCTATTAATTTACATTTTGAAAAGTTTCATTTTGTTTTTCTATTAGTCTCAACAACAAAAACCGAGAACATTAGCTGAAGCACTGGGTATTAATATTTCATTTGATACTCAACCTATATTAAAACAACCATCTCAAACTGATTTGAGCAATTTTAAAGTAATTAGATATTAAAACAAAAACATTAATTTTAAATGATGTTTTGTTTTTTTTTTGATCAGTTTCCCGAAGCAACAAAAGGTCAAGATCTTCAGCAAAATGAATCTTCTGATAATTTTCAACATAAACGTAATGCAAAAGTAATTCTTTTTCTCTTACATATAAATTCAATATCATATTAAATGAATATAAATAGTTATGTGATCGACATACAATTGCTTATGATCTCACAAGTAATTCATCGACAG